CCGCCAGATTCCGGAGGGAGGGGGAATTACCCCCTCCCTGCCTACCCGCCTAAGGGGCCATGTTGACTGGGGTCTGTTCATGCCTCCATGCTGCTGCTGGAGCAGCAAGGCAGCAGGGCCCCTGATGCAGGCAGCGGCCCCTATCTTGGTGTCCAAGGAGTGCAGCGCCCCTGCCAGGAAGAAGATGCACTTCTCAGACACCAGGACAGGGGCTGCTACCCCCATCATGCTTGATTTTCCCCCCCTCGCCACTCCAGTGGTAGGGCAGGGGTGCAAACAGAGCCCAGCACAGCCCATTAAGCAGGGGGTGGATGGGCAGGGAGGGGAGTTATTCCCCACTCCCTCCAGCATCTGGCAGAGGGGACAGGAGGACGCTTATCTCACCACTTAACCCATGCAGGGAGCAGGTGGCGGTGGCGGCTGTCAGGGCTGACAGACCCGCCTTGTGGTCCCCTGAGGGCAGATGGGGTAGAGGGGGGAATAATGCCTCTCCCTGCCCCCTCTGCCTCCCGCAGGGGGCCATGCCACTGCAACAAGGAGTGGGGACCCCAACTCAGGTCCATGGGACAGGGAAGGGGGGAATTAAACTCTCTCCCTGGTCAGTTCACTCCAGGCTACTGCCAGGGCTGGCAATGCCCCCCAGCACAGCTTCCCTGTAGCTGAGGGCGTGCTCTAGTGCCCCACAGCTCCTGGCCTGAACAACTGCAGGCATGTGCCTGCATTTCCTCAGTCCAGAGGGAATGTCTGGCCAGTTGCAAACTGGTTAGCTCTAAGCAGGTTAGACTAACATGCAAAGATCGAATCAATTCAGGCTCTGGCTTTTTGAATGTCTGTCCCTCGCCTTGGTGAAGAGAGCTTTCCATAGGAAAGGGAGTGAGAAGAGAGGGTTCTGAGGAAACAGTGCTGCTGCAAAGGTTTGGTAAGGAAACACCAGCCAAAGATGCCCCATCTCCTTTTTGTCAGAGAAGGAAAGTTCATTTTTTGTTTGTACTGAAATTTGGTTATGGTGTTCGTTCCTTGGTATCACCTCATAAGGGTACTGTATATCTTTTATTTAATCAAGCTTTTAATATTTTGAAATGGCCATTTATTATCCTGTAAAGCAACTCTTCTCTTAGTGAAACTTGAAAACACACAAGTGTTTTCTTCTGTCAGTTTAAATACTTCTCATTTCATTATTAATCGAGTTCCTGAGAAACTTAAAAACTAGATTAGAAGTGTGTTTACCAAGTTTTTAGCAACTTTCCTTATGATAAAGGGCAATCATGAAGACTAACACTCCGAAGGAAAAAAGTTAATCTCAATAAATTTGCTCTGTGTAGTATGAATCATTCAATTTTGTCCCATTCTTTGAAGAGAAATAACTTGCAGAATGGTGGACTAAAATGCTTTTTCTATTTTAAATTTTTTGGGGTGGAGCTTGGAAATAAATAGTAATGCAGCTTTCTTTAATCTCCAATTCTGTGAAATCTGAAGTCATCATTAGTAGACTGTATTCTTAAACTATACCTTGACTTCTTGGACTAAAATTGCAAACTCAGTGCCATCTAAACTGCTGTAACTGATAATAATAGAGAAAATATCAAATGATAAGTAATGCTTATTATGAAGCAAACTCTTGCTGTTTCTTGACATCTTGAGGCCTTCAGAGGCCTACAAGATACGTTTGGGGCTTGCATCTGGAGTATCTTTACCATATGACGACTTTTAGTTTTATAGGCTTTATTTCTGTTGTCCATCTCCAAGTTCTATAATGATTTCTTATTCTTTACCAATATTCTACCTCTATGAAAACCTGTTAAGTGCAGCACTGCTGTCTAAAATTGGAGTTGGATTATTAGATGACCTCTTCTAAAACTTTTTTCCCCTATAAATTTATATCTTGTGGAATTTATAATATATGATCAATTGGAACTTGGTTCTTAACTGCTCCTTTTAATTACTTTTTAATTTCAGATATTATTTGGTCTAATGACTTGCACTGTAAAAGGACTAAATTTGCTGATCTTTCTCTTCCCCCTTATTGGTTTCTTCTACAATGGAAGATGCTGCAAACAAGCAAAACACACTCCGTCTAAGAAGTAGGTAGAAAACTTGTGGAAAAATTACTTTTTTGTATTCCAGTCTCTATTTCTGGACATTTTATAAAAGCTTTCCATGACTCCTTTTTATGTTAACGTTTTCAGTTGCATGTTATGTTGTATGTATGCAACAGCAGCTTAGTACATCTTGCTATGAGTGTCCATTAGGAGCTTTATGTTGCTGTTTTCTTTTTTGTATTTAACAAATTTGGGTATTAGAGGTGGTGTGGCGGGGGAGGGGGAAAGTTTTTAGCAGCCTTAGCTGTTTCAGCCAGTAAGCGCAATAGGGAAGTAATAGATCCATTTCCTTGACCAAAATGTGTTTACTGCCTCCCCACCCCCATCATGTGACTCAAGTCCCAATGTGATCACAGCTTTACAGCCCCCACCCCCCTTCACTGCTTTCAAGTTAAACCTGGTTGTGCCATTAATGTATTCAGAGCATATTTCAGGAGTGAAGTCAGTATGGTCAAGATGAAGTACTGAAACATCATGAGGTTGGGTTAAAAAACATGAATTTTAAAAATAACTAATTCTACTCATTTGCTCACATATGCTTACGCTTTTCCTGTTTGTGTGTGGAAAAGGTTCAAGAGTGACTCTGACTCAGAAAAGAAAAAAGGTTCAGATGCTTAGGGACTGATTAGAATGGGGGAGTTGGAGATTGAAACAAAGCATCAGATACTTCAAGATTAAAAAACCCCAACCAACCAAACAAAAAGAACAAAAAACCAAGGGCAGCAAAGGTTAGGGATTTGAGGCCTTGTCTTCAGCATGCAAATCATACTCATAGAGATGTAGGACTGGAAGGGATGTCCAGAGGTTATCTAGTCCAACCTCATGTCTGAGTCAAGGTCATAGAACCACAGAAAATAAGAATGGGAAGGGAACTCCGGAGGTCATCTAGTCTAACCCCTGCTTAAAGCAGGAGTAGCCCTAACTATCTCATCCCAGGCAAGGCTTTGTCTACCTGGGTCTTAAAAACCTCTAAGAATGGAGATTCCGAAACCTCTGTGGGTAACCTGTTCCAGTGCTTCACCACCCTCCTAGTGAGAATTTTTTTCCCAATATATCTAACCCAGCGGTTCCCAGTCAGTGGTACGTGTACCACCAGTGGTATGCAGACAACCTGTAAGTGGTGCACATTAACAGATTTATTATAATTACTTTATATGACAAAAATTTCCTGGTGGTACTTAAGGCTGAACTGGTAGTAATTAAGGTTGTATCATTTTAAATTGATGGGTGAGCAATCTGTCAGAGTTCAGGAACTGCTGCAGCTAAACTTCCCCTGCTGCACCTTGAGATTATTTGTTCCTGCCAGCTGCCCCTACTGAGACCAGCCTAGCCCTAGCTCCATCTTCTTTGTAATCATCCCTAACCAGACTATCCCGTGCAAATCCGCTGCAGATGATGGAGGTCAGAGGTTTTCAAGCAGGGCTGGGCAAACCGCTGGGGGTAGTTGAAATGGCCTTAGTGGGTACTCTGCAGTGGGTGCTGCCACCGCACTGCTGCTGGCACACTTTCCCACCCACCTCCCCATGGCTGATGGGCCTCTGGGAAGACCCCACCCCCATCTGGCTGCTAGGGGACGCCTGCCTTTTCTACTGCCTGTGGGAGGTACACTGACCCCAAAAGGTTGAAAACCCCTGATCTAGGTGTAGTTAGAAGTTCTGCTACATGTATTTCCTGTGCTTCTAGGTGTTGCTGGCTCCTCAGGGGGGGAATTTTCCTCCCCCAGCTGCTAAGTGCCAGGGATTTTTTTCTGTGGGGTAAATCTGATACCTTTTATTAGACTAATCCAAATAGTTGGAAAGGTCTTCTTAGCAAGCTTTTGGGGGTGTTGTTTGTTTTGTTTTTATGCCTCTCTCTAAGGCAGGGGTATTGGCTGTAGCCAGGGCTGGGGATGGTGACTGGAGTGTGCCAGTGCTGCTACTGGGGCTTAGACCTGGAGGTTGTAGTTGCAAGTCGGGGCGGCATTTGATCCCCTGGCGGAGGCTTTGTCCCTCTGCTGAGGAGCGCCGGAGAACAGGGTACGAGCCTTTTCTGACAACGGGACGGTGGGGGGCTGGGATGCCCCTGCCGCAGGGGCTGGGCGCCGTGGGCACGCTGCGCGGGGTTGGTGCTGTCTCAGAAGCCAGGGAAAAGGGCGGGGCCTCTCTCACCCCGCCCCTTTCTCCCTGCAGCGCCCCGACTCTCAGCAACCCCTCCCGCACCGTTAACAGGAAGTACGTCATTGCCCTTTCCTCTCTGAAGCCGGAAGCGACTGCCCACTTCCCCCTCCCCACTGGCTGCCCTTTCCCGCCGGAAGTGTCGCAGTGGGGTTTCCGCTCATGACATTCCGGGTGGGAGGGGGGTGGAAGTCTCGCGTGGTCTCGGCCCGTTCCCGGCTCCGGCAGGGACGACAGAGGACTCGGGCCGGAGAGGCACTCGCCCGCCACCGCCCCCCGCTCGCCCTTCTCGGCCGCCGTCGCCCTCCCCCACCCCCCGCAGCCGCCGGCCCGCCCGCATGCGTAGTGGCGTTCGCTGCGTGCGTGTGTCAGTCACGCA